CTTTTTAAAAAATTAAAAATTTCATTGTCTTTTTTTACTCTTAAGGCGTTTTTCATTGTGCTTGGCACAAAGTAGGGAACACCCATCCAGTTAGCCTTCAGAATCTCACTTTGCATGTGTTCTCTTTATAATTTTGCACATGTGCGTCAGTGGGCTCTAGCACTTTATCAATATAGCAAATTACTTGCAGTATACTCAGAGATTTCTGTTCTGAACTGGTTAGTTGAATATGCAGGTCAACAAATGGGGACACAGTCCAGGACTGAGAGATTTATATTAGAGCTTGAGAAATTTTCTGGAGCCTCTCTAGAGAACTGGCTGGCACTAAGAATGGGTCTCCCTTAATATCCTCATCAAATGTGCTATATACTGTTAGGTCACAACAACAGTTCTTCCTGTGTTCCACCATTCCCATGTTCACATGAGGCACTGACTATAGCTCTCTCCTCTCTGTTTTTGAATCAGCACTTGTCCTTTTCCAAGAGAACTCAGTTCTCTTTTTTCAGTGTTGTTCCCTTCTTTGTACATGTTTTCATCCTCTTTTGACTTTATAAATCCTTTCCACATATCCCATTCTATAGTAAAAAATGTATGTGCTTGGGTGATGTAAGGATTCTCAAAAAAGATCACTTCCCATGTTATAATATTTCATCTATTCTTGTACCTTTGGAAACACCTGAATCTTCAGTTGGCCTCCTTTGAATCGTTTAAAGCCAATGAGGGTGCTGTTATTAGTCAATGGGATAATACCACACTAAATTTGATTCACAGTGCAACAGTTCATATAAAGTTCTGAGAAAAACATTGTTTATACTAAGACTTTGTGGGGTGGGGAGGAAAAATGGTATGCTGCATTAGATTTTGGTTTCTGATGACAGTCATCCTGACTGCAAGCTGCAATCTGAATTTGTTTTAGTGCATAGGGAATAAATTTGTGGTGGATCTTCCTTTTTTGACACTTCTTGTATTTATCATCTTAATCCACCCGGGAATTGCTGAGTATGTTTCCACTAAGATTTCAAGCCAAGAATGCAGGTGACTTTTAAATTGTAAAAATCTCTGAATGTGATTTCTAAACTGCTAAACAGAAGCTTATTGACAAATAGACATCCTCAAACTCCTACAGGATTATCTAGACATTTACCAAACAATATCTGAAGTTAGATAACGTCATTATTTTGAAGAGTTCATCCAATTTCTAAGGGAAGTTTCATATTTTGTTGCTTAGTATCACTTTGTGATTTTGAACCCTTTAGTTTGTTGTTTAAGGGCTAATACTTCTAACCCTTTTAACTCGGTAAAATGCAAGATAATTAACACATAATGAAGAGTAGAGACTTCACGCTGGCAACAAAGATCCGCATAGTCAAAGCAGTGGTATTCCCCATATTAACCTATGGATGTGAGAGTGGACCATAAGGAAGGCTGAGTGAAAGATAGACACTTTTGAACTGTGGTGCTAGAGGAAACTTCTGAGAGCGCCTTGGACACAAGAAGATCCCACCAGTCCATACTTCAGGAAATAAAGCCCGACTACTCATTGGAGGGAAGGATGTTAGAGGCAAAGATGAAGTACTTTGGCCACATCATGAGAAGACAGGAAAGCTTGGAGAAGACAATGATGCTGGGGAAAATGGAAGGAAAAAGGAAGAGGGGCCGACCAAGGGCAAGATGGAAGGATGGTATCCTTGAAGTGACTGGCTTGACTCTGAAAGAGCTGAGGGTGGTGACAACCGACAGGGAGGTCTGCCGTGTGCTGGTCCATGAGGTCACGAAGAGTCGGAAACGACTGAACAATTAAACAACAATGAATGTTCAGCCTGGGCTGCCTGTCTAAGGCATGTGATGAAGAAATCAAATAGATGACTATCTGCACATTCAGAATTCATGGCAGGACTTGCCCTACTAAATGGGTCCTGTGAATTTTCCCTAATGCATACCTTAGAGCAGAACACATCTTGCACTCTGTTTTCTAAATAGATGCGGTGTTTATTTCTTTTGATTCCTGACTTCTTCTGCATTGAAAAGTTGACCCAGCATCCTGGGGGATTTATCCAAATTTTCACAGAAAAAGACCACCTGATTTCTCTGTTTTTTTCTGAACTTAAAAATTGTTTAAATGTCTGATACCTACAATTTTAACTGATTCTTCTCTAAATCATCTCTTACTACCCTTTATGTGTATCTTATTCTTTTGTGACACGCTCAGCTAGACATTGGGGGCTCTGATGAGACATACAGCCAGACATATTTCCCATGACAAGTGACAAGGCTTTGGGCAACAAGATGCGAGGATGGAAACACACATATATCCTGGGTATATGTGTCAGCAATAGCCCCTCAAGTAGTTCAGCTCTTCTTTATCCGCTTTATTGGACTCAGAAACCTGCTCCACCATAGGCAGCAGGCACTCGGGTACTTGGGGAGCTGGAAAGTACAACTCTGCTGAGATTGTCCAAGCTGTCACCATCTCGTGTTTTGGCTTCAGATTTGGTTTTGTTCAGTCCCTTCTCCAGGCAGCCAATTAGAGAGAAATCCCACTGTGTGGGTTGCTCCAAACAGCCCTCTTGTCAAAAGTCCAGGCTAACCCTTGCCCTGTTGCAGATGGACCAACACTGCCTTCACAGGGGTCAGAGGAGCCTGCAGGGAGGCAGAATGGAAGTTAAGATGGAACCTGTGCACTTTGGAACTTCGAGAGGGCTATAAAGGGAAACTGATTTTATTATTATTAATTTTAAAGACCTAGTCCTGGACAACAGACTCCATAGGCAGGGCAGCTTTCCAGCTCTTGAATATTCATTTCAGCACAGGCTGGAGTCAGGACAGAGCCTTACAAAACAGTCAAATGTTGCAAGAAATGTCCTATGATGAAATTGGAGGTGGAATTTTTCTGGTTGAGATTCCATTTCTTTTTAGTTTCAGACCAGTGTGGTAAAGAATCTGCAGAACACTGTGGCTTATCTTTCACCTGCAGAATACGTTATTCTCTGTAAGTGTTCATAGAATCATAGAGATGGAAGAGACCCTGTGGGCCATCCAGTCCAACCCTCTTCCAAGAAGCAGGAAAATCGCATTCAGAACCAGGAACAAAGTCTGGGAATATTATTTTTTCTCCTTCAGAGTCCAAGAATCCCCTGGCTAGCATTGCCAGGGGATTCTTGGGCTTGGGACCCTGGGATCCCAGATCACCATCTTCAACTTGAGGAGCTGTATACTTTAGCATCCAACTGTTTGAGAGCTGGCTCACTGATAATTCCAGTGCTAGGTTCATGTATTCATTTTATTTGGTACATTTATATTGCATCATTCCAACAGTGAACTCAAGACAGTATGTATGGCTCCCTTCCATTTTATCCTGGGAACAACCTGTCAGATATTTGAACTGAGAGAAAGCAATTAGGCCAGAATCATTTGATAAGTTTCATGGTTCAGTGCGGGCTTAAATTTAGACTTCTCCAGTCTTTGTTAGACACTCCAACCAATGTAATACACTGATGATTCCAGCTTATTACAGGGTATTAGTTGCCCCTGGGCTGAGAACAGCGGTATATAAGCAAAGTAAATAAATAAATAAAATAAATATTTTCTCATAGTAATATAGTAAAAAAAAAAAAAAAAGAAGAAGGGGGGGGGGGTGCCTGACATGTCAACACAAAAGAAAAATTATGAAATTCAAAAGGGAAAATGGTTTATTGTGAATTGTCTAGAGCTGCAGATAGGCTGTACAAAAATGATTGAACAAATGAATCTTATTGGCTGGGTGCTCTTGCAAGCTATGAGTTGGATAGTCTATTGTTAGGTATTTTGACAAGAAAAAACATATTCACTCAGTGTAATTACAGGCTAACTACTCCTTATCCAAATTCTTAAGACCAGAAATGTTTTGAATTTCATTTTTTCCCAGATTTTGGAATGCCTATATTTGCAATACATACATAATGTGATATCTTGAAGATGGGACCCAAGCCTAAACACAACATTCATTTATGTTTCATATACATCTTATACACATAGTCTGGTGGTAATTTTATACACAATATTTTAATAATTGTGTGCATGCTACAAAGTTTGTGTGTATTGAACCATCAGAAAGCAGCTATATTAATTGCCCATGTGGACAACATGGATTTTAGAGCATTTTGTATTTTAAAATTCTAGATAAGGGATGGTCAACGTGCACATATTTCTTCTTATGGGTGGAAGGTGAAGTGGATGGCAAATTCAGGTGTTTGCACAGGACCATAAATATTTATCTGGAAGAATAGTTTATTTAGAGTTCTTCTGGCAGACAGATATATACATACATAACCTGACAGAAGAAGCTGGTGACTCTTACTTGCTCAGTTGATCAGTGAATCTATTAGACCAGGGGTCCTCAAACATTTTAAACAGAGGGCCAGGTCAAAGTCCCTCAAACTGTTGGAGGGCCAGATTATATATTTTTTTAAAAAATGAATTAATTCCTATGCACACTGCACATAAATTATTTGTATAGTTTAAAAACACTTAAAAACAATACAAGAATTAAAATGAAGGAACAATTTTAACAAATATAAACTTATTAGTATTTCAATGGAAAGTGTGGGTCTGCTTTTGGCTGATGAGATAGGATTGTTGGTGTGTGCTTTCAAGTTGTTTCAGACTTAGGTTGACCCTGAGCGAGGGCTGGGTAAACGACCTTGGAGGGCCGTATTTGACCGCCGGGCCTTAGTTTGAGGACCCCTGTATTAGACTATCTTTTACTTTGCTGGATGACTACTATCTTTCTGGTTTACTATTGTTCAGTCACACTGGCAGCAGCTTTGCAAAGTTTCAAGCAGAGACCATTTGACACGCAAACCTTTCAACTGGAAAGTTAATTTCCAAGATCTGACATTCTGCATGTAAACCATGTGCTCTGTCACTATGTAGTTATTCCACCTCAAGTTTACTTTGTGCATAAAAAACCTGGAAAAATTGGTAGTAGTTGTGCTGTCATTTGACTTGTCAATCCCTTGTAGATATTCCAGTCATCCCTGACTTGGAAGATGTTCAAGAGGAAGACTTTGCTATGCAAGTGGCGGCCCCACCCAGGTAACAAAACGATCACCAAAATGATTGTGCTCAATGACTTGTCCTGAATTGATACATTTCTATCCTGCTCAGCTTGATTTTGTAGCATGTGTTTTGGTTTGTTTCAGCAGATAGATAGTACTGATAATATAGAGAAATACTACTATAGAACTTCTGAGTAAATGCAATAAACTAGAAGTGCTGTACTGCGACCTGTTTTACATTGAAGGTAATGATGAATCTGGTGAGGCATGTATAAAACTTCAGTTTGCTTCTTGCTTGCAGTGTTCAGGTGAACAGAGTGCTGACCTATCGTGACCTGGATAATGACCTCATGAAATATGCTGCTTTCCAAACCTTGGTGAGTGCAACCAAATGGAAATGTACATTCTTCCCTTAGTTTTTCCTCAAGGCACTAAGCAGCCTTTTCTTCCTGCCACCTTAAGCCACTATATTACCACATATGTCTCTTTTCACTCCTTTTTAGGACTTTTGAACTACTACTACTACTACTACTATATAAATATATTGCCCATTCTTTTGAGGGGGCTTCTTACGCCTTCTTGGAACACTTGATAGAAATGTACCTTTTTGGTGGATCAGCATGCTATATGCTCAGCCTTGTCTGTTAAGGCACTTTTGGATATTTCTCTGGGCATCTTGCCAAATGGCTAGTGATTTCCATGTCACAACACTTCTGAATCTGCTCTGGGTTTAAGTCTGAACTTTAAAGGAGCTATTCCAAGTTGTTGAATCTATTTTGGAGATAGGGTTCAGTGATTTAGGCCCCTTCCACACTGCCCCTATATCTGATCCCAGATTAGCTGCTTTAAACTGGATTATATGAGTCTGCACTGCCAGATAATCTGGAATCAGATCTGGGATATAAGGGTAGTGTGGAAGAGGTCATAGATAGCTCTTTAGCTAACTCTTCAGACTAACACACAGGAGATTCATTGCCTCACTGATACCAGCCACCATTGTTTTGTGTTTCAATAGTTTATTCCATCCCCTCCTTTATATTTCATTTGACATAACCCTTCCTTTTCACTGAGCAAGAGTTCCTTTAGTTTGGAACTAAATTTTGGCGTTGATAACTCTGAGGAACTGATATTGTGCTGTTAGAATCACAAAACTTTTCTTACAAAGAGAAGAAAACTTCTAAATGCCATGGTTTTTATAGAAATGGCTTTTCTTATCCACTGAATAGCATTGCTCCATCATCCACTGCATGTATTGTCGAAGGCTTTCATGGCTGGAATCACTGGGTTGTTGAAGGTTTTTCGGGCTATATGGCCATGCTCTAGAAGCATTCTCTCCTGATGTTTTGCCTGCATCTATGGCAAGCATCCTCAACAGACCTCACAACCTCCGAGGATGCTTGCCATAGATGCAGGCGAAACGTCAGGAGAGAATGCCTCTAGAACATGGCCATATAGCCCAAAAAAACCTACAACAACAAACTGCATATTCTACAACAGGGGTGTCCAATTAATACTGGGTGTGAGGCACACATTTCTTCTTGATCTTGGATTGCAGTGTGCTTTATTTTTGGTTTTTGTGTTCTCACAGGATGGAGAGATTGACTTAAAGCTTCTGAGTAAGGTTCTAGCTCCAGAGCAGGAAGTGCGAGAGGTGAGTTTGTTTAAACCAAGAGAAAATTAGGCTATTTATTTGCAGTGTCTATCAGTGAGGTAATAATTCAGATATGTCCGCAGTTCAGAGGTTCATTTCTGAAGTTCCCTTATACCATGTCAGTTGTCCATTTTTGCTTTGCTGTCTAGTTATGCAAAGATTGATCCTTCTGCATACAAAGCATGTGCCTGAGTTATGGCACTGCCGCACTGTTGGCATGTCTCCTGCCATTAAAAGTGTTTTGGTTTGGGATGATGAACTAATTATGAAAACTTTCCTTTTAAAAAAGAAATCAACATGAGCAGGGATATCCACCCTCACACACAAGTACAAGTTTAAGATGGACTGCAAAAGAAGTGAGAGTGGGGAATGCCAAACAAAGGGAGGAGTGGACTATGTGTGAGCCATTTCTTACTCTTGAGAATTAGAAGCTCTGGAACCATTTGGAGATTGAAGCCACCCAGAGCTGTTTCTTGGGCAAAGCAGAGCAAGACACCAAACTCATACATTTGAATATATGTGACTGGTTTTATTTATGCCACTCTGCAGAACTTTTCTAATAATAATATAAGATAATAACACTTTTTTTTATATCCCGCCCTATTTCTCCAAGGGGACTCTAGCTAAAAAATACCCCCCCAAAATTGGCTGGAATTCACTGTTGCATAACCAAGGCCAGTGGTTCTCAACCTGTGGGTCCCCAGATGTTTTGGACTTCAACTCTTTGAGTCCAAAGAGTCCCCCAGGGGTGGGAAAGGAGGTATATAAATACTGTAAATAATAAAAATAAATAAACTCCCAGAAATCCTAACAGCTGGTAAACTAGAAAGGATTTCTGGGAGGCCAAAACACCTGGGGACCTGAAGGTTGAGAACCACTGATCTAGAACTAGGTGAAGAATGTTCATATAATAATAAATTTAGAAAGGGATTCATCAGTTGTGAATTACAACTAACTAAGATCCTACTCAATGTAGGATCTCCAGCTAAAGCAATCCTATCAATAGCTGTCCAGCCTATTTTGAAAACATCCAGAGGAGACCCCACTACCTCTCTAGGCAATATGTTCCTTTGCCAAACTGCATCCATAACTTCTTTGTATTCACACAATCCCACATTTTCAGGATCGCGGCACAATTGTAAATGTCCCTCAGTCTTGCTTTGCTAGGCATCAACCACTGGGAGCAATGGAGGCCTGTTCCCCTGTTGATCAGGATGCAGTAGAAGGAATTTCCTCCTTCCTCCTCCAGTAATTTTAATTTTTGTCTGTCCTAATATATAATTGTATATATTATATATATATATATATATATATATATATATATATATATATATATAATGGTATATAAAATATAATATTATATATTACATGTAATATTACTAATAATATTGCAGTATAGTGGTATAGTACAATATAGTAATATATAATACTAATTTTGTGCTATGCTAATAATATAATATATTGTAAATACATATAACTTGTAAGCCGCTCTGGGTCCCCTTCGGGGTGAAAGAAGGTGGGTTATAAATATAGTAAGTAAACGGCTATATCTTTGTGTGATATGTGATGTTATTTATGTGATGTGTTTAATAATGTTTAATGTTTTATCAGGGGAAGGTCAATTCTGATATATTGTCGAAGGCTTTCATGGCCGGAATCACGGGTTGTTGTAGGTTTTTTCGGGCTGTATGGCCATGGTCTAGAGGCATTCTCTCCTGACGTTTCGCCTGCACTTTGGCAAGCATCCTCAGAGGTAGTGAGGTCTGTTGGAACTAGGCAAAAGGATATATATATATATCTATATATATATATATATATACACACACACATACACACACACACACACACACACATACCTCTGAGGATGCTTTCCAAAGTGCAGGCAAAACGTCAGGAGAGAATGCCTCTAGTCTAGACCATGGCCATACAGCCCGAAAAAACCTACAACAACCCTCAATTCTGATGTTTTATACTGTTTTTATCGATGGCATTGAATTGTTGCCAACACTGTGAACAGCCCTGAGTCCACTTTGGGGTTGATAAGGGTGGTATACAAATACCACAAACTAACAAACAAACAAACAAAGAAATACAACACATCAATGTCTACAATAGAATTTAAGTGTATTTTAAAACTCCAGATAGAGCACTGCATGCGATTCTTCTTTGTACCATTTGGACTGTATAGCAATGTTCAAAGCCATTGCACCATTTAGCAATTCCCTCCCCTCTTTTTGGCAGGATGATGTCAGCTGGGACTGGAATCATCTCTACACAGAAGTTGCTTCAGAGCTCCTGAGTGAGTGGGATTCTGGGCAGTCTGAAAAGGAGGACAGCCTCGTTCGGAATAGGAGCACTTGAACTTTGACTGACTGAAATTGTCAACAACACTACCACATCTGTAGAATATAAAAACTATATTTTAATATTATATATCTATATATTGTATTTGAGGATTTATTTTAATGCACATTTTAAAAAATCAATTTTTGAAAATATGGATTACAAAGCAAAGAAATTGAAAAGAGAAAAAAAGGGGAAGGTAAGTATATAGGATATTACCAAGGTCTAGTTATTTTCACTGATACAAGAAAATAAATTTTCTTGCAGTTGTTTATAAAACGTACAGTAATTTGTAAGATCTTTTGGCCATTTCGTGATTTGTGGTGAAAGATTATCTTTCTGCCCTGGAGTAACAGTAAGAACGTGCGTGTTCCAACAAGGCTGCTCCTGAGTTAAATTCCATGTCACAGAAATGTAATTTAAAACAACATGTTCATCTACAAATAGCAGAGAGGTTTCTAATACAGAACTGATACACTGTAACATATCCAAACCAAAGGGAGTAATCACTGGAGGTCATATGAGTCAAATAATCATTATGAGCATTTCATTGCCAACACTTACTTGAAACAGTTTCTTTCTAGAAAGATTTTTGGTGTGCAATAGAGCCAGTTTTTCCTGGCTGTATTGCACACGGATTGATTTAAATGTTGAAGCCAATTTCATTTTATATTTGTTAATTTGTAAGGGTAAAGGTAAAGGTTTTCCCCTGACATTAAGTCAAATTGTGTCTGACTCTAGGGTTTGGTGCCCATCTCCATTTCTAAGCTGAAGACCCAGGTTTGTCCACAGATGCCTCCAAGGTCATGTGGCTGGCATGACTGCATGGAGCGCCGTTACCTTCCCACTGGAGCGGTACCTATTGATCTACTCATATTTGCATGTTTTCTGACTGTTAGGTTGGCAGAAGCTGGGGCTAACAGTGGGAGCTCACACTGCTCCCCGGATTTGAACCGGCGACCTTTTTTTTTTTTTTGCTGCCTTTTGTTATAGCCATGATGAGTGCATCAGAAATGTTCCCACGAATCACTTCCTTGCTCTACTAATCTAATACATACACTAAGGCCCCTTCCACACAGCTGAATAAAACCTACTTTGAACTGGGATATTTGGCAGTGTGGACTCTAATAATGCAGTTCAAAGCAGATATTGTGGGATTTTCTGCCTTGATATTCTGGGTTATATTGCTGTGTGGAAGGGCCCTAAAACAGCCTGCTTAACACTTTTGGGGAAAAAGTTATTTGTCCCTTAAAAATCAGAGCAAGGAATAGTGGCAGAGATTTAAGATGTCCTCCTTTTATACCTGCTGCACACATAAACTCAACACACTGATTAGAGAAACTACTGCCTTTCACTGAGCTCAAAAGGCTGTTTGCTATGGGCTGCTCTTCACAGCCAGCCAGCACCCTTTCTTCCATCAATCACCACATAGGCTCGCGTCCACTCCAAATATCCCACTTGAAAAGCCCTTTTCATTAAAATTCAGAGAAAACAAAGTGTCATAGTCCCTTGGATGCACACCTGGAAGCAGAGAGAAAATTTGTAATGCAGCCCTTAATTATAAGCTGTGGGACTTAACTGAGGTAGTAATGCTTTCTTCCTCACATTCTCAGGTCAGACTCAGGCGTGCTCTGCTCTCCAGTTTAGCTGGCATCCTGCTGTGGCAGCTATTTGCTGTTGTTTGTCACTTCCAACTACAGAATTCAGAAACCTGAAGGGAATCTCTACCTAGAGAATGAGGGCAGAAGTCCCCTGTAGCCTCAGGAGCCGGCCAATGTGGTGGACTTCTCACCTCCCAAGATACCACTTGTGTATGTTCTGGCTGTTTTCAGCATCTGCTTTAATGCACAGGGTGTTTTCATTTTAGCACGAAAACAAAGGATTTCCAGTACTGGGCACCTGAAAATCTGTCAGGGAAACAGAACTGCAAGTCCAGAATGAGGAAATGCAAACCCAATGTTTCAGGGAGATGGTTCTAGATGGAAGCAGCAAATGATCTACATGAGGCTAGATGAGCAGGAAACCCTGAATCCGACTTGTGGTCACATTTCAGCTACATTCATTCATTGTATTATTTAAACGTGATTCTGTTCCACTACATGCCTCCTTCAATATATTTCAGTCTGCTGCATCAAAGAGAAGAAGCAGCTGCATGGTTACTTGACGGACATGGAGAAGAGCAGTTAGCCTACCACCTTGCAGGCATTGCTCACAGGTAATCCACATAATTTATATGCCAAAGTCCCCAATAGTAAATCTGGGGAAAGTTCCCATTTGAAATCCAGGTTTTGAATCCATCTCAGCAGGTTTGGATATTTGCATTAGTGGTTTCAGGTAAGCCCGGATCTGAGCTCTTGTTAGCAGAACATGAATTGATGCAGGATTTTGAGGCCAGATTGCATTTGAAACCATTGATAAAAAAAAAGTTCCTCCAGTACAGGCTTCTCTTTACGCCCATACTCTCGGATAAGCAAAATCAAAAGCAAATATCACTTAGTCCAAGACCTGAGAGCTGTAAATGCTGTTATTGTAATTATGCATACAATTAATATATGCAATTATGCTCACACCAGCACCAGTAATTGAGAGCTTGGAAAAGTTCCTTTTGGACTACAACTCTCAGAATTCCAAAGTAACTTTTCCAAGTTCTGGACACAGGTCAGAACCACAAGCCTCAGGAGCATTGGCTAGACCAGTAGTTCCCAACCTGTGGTCTGCATGAACTAAAATGTGATCTGCGCCCTCACTGTTACTACACCGTAGCAATGAGAGCAACTGGTCTCATGAAACCCTCTTATAGTGCTGAGACTTATTAAATATGGTTTTCTGTGGGCGGGCAGATGGTGACTACTGGATGGCATATGTTCTGTATCAGAAACTAGAGCTGACGTGGTCTATCCAATGCAATTTTTGAATCGGCACCCCAAATAACCAACCAAATCTAAATTTGACCAAAAACCAATTTGTAACCTTTTTGGTACTAATGTTGGAGAGTGGTCCCTGGTCAAGTGGACCCTGGTAAAAAAAAAAGGTTGGAAACTACTGAGCTAGACCCTTGTCTTTGAACCATTGTTGAGACCTCGGGATCACATTACTGTTTCTTCTTGCTTCACCTCTTCTTGTCATGAGAAATCTCCCTTTAATGTCTCTATATATGTATGCTACAGAGTTACAGCCGTTTTATTTTAACTCTTCATGGGTCAGTTGCTCTTGATCCTAAAGAAGCTGTTCAAGAAGAATATCTACAAACTGCAAAGTGTCCAGAACACCAAGATTATCAAAATTGTGGAAACCAAGCTTTAGGAGGAATGACTTAGGCATCTAGTTAAGTTTAGCTTAGAAAAAAGAGGATGCAGGAGAAGTGACATGATAACTATTTTAAAATGTCTAAATGTTTAAAATGATTTTGAGTTATAGAAGCATTCTGTCCTGACGTTTCACCTGCATCTATGGCAGGCGTCCTTAGAGGTTGTGAGGTGTGTTGGAAACTAGGAAAATGGGGTTTATATATCTGCAGAATGTCCAGGATGGAAGAACACTTGTCTGTTGGAAGTAGATGTGAATGTTTCAATTGGCCACCTTGATTAGCATTTAACGGCCTAGCAGTTTCAGAGTGTGCCTTCTTACTGCCTAGGGGAATCCTTTGTAGAGAGGTGATTAGCTGCCCCTGATTGTTTCTTGTCTGGAGTTCCTCTATTTTTGAATGTTGTTCTTTATTTACTACTAGCTTGGGGACCCGGCGTTGCCCGGGTTATTAGAGAAAGTGGGTAATGGCGGTTCTGTATGCCAAGTTTGGTCTTTATTGGTCTTTGGATAATGGCTGCATTATTTTCAGGAAGTGAGTGAAGGTACTTGAAGTCCCATCATCCATGGGCCATCCTCCTACAAACAGCAGCAGGATATAGAGTGGGTCATGGGGGCTCTGTGTGCCAAGTTTGGTCTTTATCAGTCATTAGATGAGGGTGGCAGTGGTGTCAGTAAGTGAGTGAAGGTACTGCAAGTCCCATCATCCAAAGTCCATCCCCTTTCAAACTGCAGCAGGATGTAGAGTGGATCATGGGGGCTCTGTGTGCCAAGTGTGGTCTTGATTGGTCATTAGAAGAGGGTTGCAGCAATCTTTGAAGGGAGTGGAGGTACTTGAAGTCCCATCATCCATGGTCTGTCCTCCTCCAAACTGCAGCAGGATATAGAGTGGGTCATTGGAGCTCCATGTGCCAAGTTTAGTCTTGATTAGTCATTGGCGAGGGTCTCAGTGGTCTCAGGAAGTGAGCAAAGGTACTGCAAGTCCCATCATCCATCTCCAAATTTTTCCAAACAACACCAGGACGTAAAGTGGGTCATGAGAGGTCTATGTGCCAAGTTTGGTCTTGATCCGTCATTGGATGAGGTTTGCAGAGGTCTCAGAATGGGAGTGAAGGTACTGGAAGTTCCATCATCCATGGTCCACCCTTCTCCAAAACTGCAGCAGGATGTAGAGTGGGTCATGGGGGCTCTGTGTGCCAACGTTGGTCTTCATTGGTCATTAGATGAGTTTTGCAGCAGTCTTGGGTAGTGGAGGTACTTGAAGTCCCATCATCCATGGTCTGTCGTCCTCCAAACTGCTCCAGGATGTAGAGTGGGTCATTGAAGCTCCATGTGCCAAGTTTAGTCTTGATCAGTCATTGGCGAGGGTCTCAGTGGTCTCAGGAAGTGAGTGAAGTGACTGCAAGTCCCATCATCCATTGTCAAATTCTTCCAAACCGCACCAGGATGTAGAGTGGATTATGCGGGCTCTCTGTGTAAATTGTGGTCCTGATCCATCATCGTTGGCAGTTGTAATGGTCTTAGGAAGGGAGTGCAGGTATTGCAAGTCCCATCGTCCATGGTGCATCCTCCTTCAAACTGCACCTGGATGTAGAGTGCGTCATGGAGACTCAGTGTGCCAAGTTTGGTATTTATTGGTAATTGGATGAGGGTTGCAGTGGTCTGAAGAATTGATCAATGGTACTGCAAGTCCCATAATCCACGGTCCATCCCCGGCCAAACCACACCAGGACGTAAAGTGGGTCATGAGAGGTCTATGTGCGAAGTTTGGTTCTGATCAGTCATTGGATGAGGTTAACAGTGGTCTCAGAACGTGAGTGGTGGTACTGCAAGTCCCATCATCCATGGTTCATCCTCCTCCAAACTGCAGTAGGATGTAGAGTGGGTGATGGGGGCTCTGTGTGCCTATTTCGGTCTGTATTGGGAGTGTTCTGACCCAGCCCCGGCCTTTCCTTTCCTCTCTTTGTCATCTCGGA